GCCAGGTCCTGGTCGCCGGTGAGCAGGTCGAGGTCTGCGTCCTGCGGCAGCGGCGGCAGGCGGCGCGCCAGGTACTGCCAGCGCGCGAACATGCTCTGCTTGCACAGCAGGGACGGCTGGCCGCTCTCCAGCTTGCCCGTCGTCGCGTTGATCACCTCGGGTAGCTGCGGCCAGGGCGGGGAGTTATTGTGCTGTCCTGTCTGAGTGTACCGAGTGTGTAGTGGGTTCAGTACCTGGTGCGTGCAGACCCAGCAGACGCTGAAGGAGGGCGCGCGCGCCGGCGTGCGGGCCTCGGTGCTGGCGGCGCGCGACAGTAGGGGGCGCTGGAGCTGGTAGGGGGGCGGCAGACACGACAGGTACGCCTCGATACGACCGCAGATTGCTCTGTGTACACAACACGTTACACAGCGTTACACAGAGCGTACACAATACCAACACATTGTAGCACATACATGGCCTAGACACAACCAAACATTATCGCGTCGCCATACAGATAATAACTCAAGAAAGATTGAATGTACGCACTGCGAGACACAAATCTCTGATGATGCGCGAATTGCAACAAGCTAATTGTAACAGGTCCCCAACAGAACACGTCGGTGACCACACAGATACACTTAACATAACATACCGCGAGTACACTCGGCGTGGACCTGAATGTACTTGTGACGTCCACACCTCATGGAGACGTCTCCCACTAATTTTCCTCCCTATGTAATAATGTCTTCCGATATAATTATTTCTGTGCTGCATGTGTGACCCATGGGGTCTGGGGTCCGTTTCAGGAATCGGTCGGGACCTGGGTCGGGCAAAGTACTACTAAAGTACTACAGAGTAGTAGCACGGAGTCTGGAATTATGTCCGGTATATGGCAATGGGCTCACCCCCTATTACATGGGACTCATCTCATAACATAATTATGATGTCGTAGACATATTTAACTGTACACTGAGCGAGTTCACAAGGACCACTTACTCTATAGTGTGTAAGGAAATATAGTCTGCAGTTAACATTTTTATAAGTTTATAGTTAAATATAGTTAATAGTTTAGGAAGCATATTTTAAGTTACTATGTCGAATTAGGTTAAGTTGTCTGTAATGGCAAAGTAATTGGATTAAATAAATAAATAAAATATATATGTTTACGACACTATTACGACACTTACCGTCCAGTACTATTTAGTACATCTCTGCCTACCCTTTCGGGGATAAAAAGCGTGATGCTATGTATGTACGTATGTAATTATTTCGTAGCGTGATACACGGCAGTTGTTCATGTCCCTAAGACTTCAGTTTCAGTGTTTAATTGGTTGTATCTACTGCAGATCCCGGTGCACTGGATTACTACGGTTTTGGGAGGTTGTGGCGGGGTGTCCCTAGAAATTATTTTACTTTCGCATTTTGAAGGTTTAAAAAGCCCAGCCAGATCCTACTAGCAACATAACATCACGTCTTTTATCCCTAAAGAGGTAGACAGAGGTGCACATTACGGCACGTGCTGCCACTGTACAATGTAACACCCACTTTTCACTATTTATGTTATGAGTCCTATCTAATAAGGGGTGAGCCTATTGCCACATACCGGGCACAATTTCAGACTCCGTGCTACTACTGAGAATTTATTTAAACTCAGCAATTCTTTGCCCGAATCAGAGACCATTTGGCCAGCAGTCGAGGCAGCCTACTAGCATGAATGTAGGTACTAGGGAGTGTGGCTAGACATTGGACGAGTCGTGCGGTACTGGCGAGTTTATGTAAACAGTAATTAAAGGGAGCGGAGCAAGGTGTCGATGTATTACTTGTAGCGTTGCCCACCCGCTGCCGGCACTGCTCCGCCGCGCCTCCGCCGCACTGCACGCGGCGCTCTACTGCTACATAGTATACTTCAATAATAATATAGTTCAGTGTTCGAGCCGCCATGCAGTCCGTGGTACCACTCGCCTGCTTCCTGTCCCTCATACGTGAGTATACTGATTTTTATGATTGAGACGTATCGCCTGATGGTAAGCCATCGGCGGTGCCCATGGACACCTGGAACACCAGACTGTTGTCGGCTTTTTGGGGATTGGGCCATGGGGCGGGGGGAGTAGATTGAATTTCGTTTACACGGGAAACAACGCTTTGGTTGTTTCACGGCAGTTTTTTGCTCAGTCGTGGTACCTATCACTTGGGGTCGTGGTCGCCCAGAGGATTAAGATGCGCCCGCTTCTCATGGCAAGTACCAATGTGACTTTTTCCAAGTTATATGTACTCTCTAAGATTATCTAGACACCACTGACAAACGGCGAAGGAAAACATCGTTGCTCACAATGTTTTCCTTCACCGATTATAATTTCTAATTATAAGTTTGATATGCCAACCCGCATTGAGCAAGCGTGGTGATGCTCAAACCTTCTCCGTGTGAGAAGAGGCTTTGGTCAGCAGTGGGCATTTAGCAGTTAGTGGCAGCAGCAGCAGTTGATATGTGGTATCACTCCGGTTGAGACATCAAACCGGTGCCGAAGTGTGGCGAGCCTGTGTGGGCATCCACAGGCGACTGCTCGTTTACATAACGACAACGAGCATTACTGGTGACCTTGTCTCAAAGTTGTAGGATGATCTATGTTTTGTTTGAACTATAACTCGTCGCAAGCCAAGGATCGAAGACTCGAGTGTTCGGACCAATACTTTAATATCTACACTTGTGACCGACTGTGTCTCACAATGTAGGCATTCAGTCCGTCTCTGTCTGTTCCTTCGTTGTGACTATGTCGCGTCATGTTAATATTATGGGATGTACGACGCGTGCGACATAGTGAGACTGGGTCAAGCTAGGTATGCGGTTCGACTCCCAGTGAGTGCTATGTTGGTTAGTTGGTGCGCTTGCGACAAGTACTACTGGAGCGTATCGCGGTAACATGGTTAGACGGCGCGCGCCGCGGCGGCAGGCTGTAGTACTTAATGCTGATGTAATTCAGGACTATTCTTATACATTCCAGGTACTGATAGAGATATAGATACAGGCACATTGATTGAGAGACGACACTACGCAATGTATGTCAATGTGACAGGTTCAAACCCCGCGGGGTCATTGAACCAGCTCTTTGTAAATATACAAATTGTGAATTAGACTTTGTGTGTCAAAATTTGTTATTTTTTTTTAACGTTGCCCCACACTAGGATGTCCTCCTGTGTCGTGGGTGTGTTTACAAACATACAAGTTCACATACACATGACACCTAGACCCGAAACAACAATCTGTGGATCACACAAAGTGTTGTTCCGTGCGGTAATCGAACGTGCGACACGTTGCGCGGCATTTTGTTGTCCAGCAACCGTACCAACCGTGCAGCCAATAGTATAGTATACTAGCGACCCGCCCCGGCTTCGCACGGATGCAATATGCATATACATATAAACCTTCCTGAAGAATCACTCTATCTATTAAAAAAAACCGCATCAAAAACGTTGCGTAGTTTTAAAGATCTAAGCATACATAGGGACAGACAGACGGCGGATAGCGACTTTGTTTTATACTATGTAGTGATTACGAAAATAATAAGACGATCGTAGCGAAGGATAAAGTTATGAAAATACTGTAGACATTACAGTGGATGGCGGCTCAGTACAACTGTGCTTACTCTATCGATGGATAGACGTTACATCATATGTCAGTCAGTCAGTCAGTGTGTCTGTATGTATGTATGTATGTAAGAGCCAGTCCTGCAGGATGTTATATGCACAACTTGCATTACACTAATGCGAGTTGTGCAACTCCCCAGTAGTCGCCGGCCCGCCAGTTATGGACGACTGGGAGAACTGGTCGCGACTACATTATAATATGTCCTATCTAGTATAGTGTGAGCACGTGTCTTCGCTCGCCCACCGACACATCCGACCGATCCGGGTGGACACCCGCAACATTAAAGGAGTTATCAATACGTTGCGAGTTTGGAATGGAGGAAATACAAAGCAAGCATTGTTATACACAGATTTTAAGAAATCACGCTAAGGGTAGAATTTTATTTGTGAAAATCACATAAAAAATCTTTCAGTCATTTTGGAGTAGCATCGCACACAGACAGACAGACAGAGTGCCCTTCTATTAGAATGTATGTTAATTGAATTCCCCGTATCTCAACGAGTCGGGTGTAATTATAAAGCAGTAGTTCGTAGCTGTAGAAAGTGACCTGTCCACTGGCAGTACTGGCGCGCAGTACTAGCGAGGAATGAATTAACATAACTCGTCGGCGCGGGGGTCGCAGGACTCTGCCGCGGCGGACCGGAACCGGGCCAGTGTTACTGCGCGCGCCTGTAACATCGCTGTAACACCGTGATTGTTACAACATTGTAAGATGTTACACTACGCTGGTTGACTGTTATGTGTAACTGGCGATAATCCCAATACTTTTTGCCCTGCCTTACCGCCGGCGCATGTAATGCTATATATAGATACATTATGTTTGACGGCTCGTGAGTAGTCGTGAGTTCGTGTGTAATACTTTTATGCAGTGTTTTTTTAAAGGAGGGAAAATCATCGAATGACTGCTCCCGCCTGGGTGAGGCGGGAGGGAGTGTCAGACTCTTACTGACTAAAAAACAATCCCGTTCCTTCTCCTGCACGTCGAGCCGGAGCCCCGGTTACCCGTTAGGTTCTCCGCGACTCCGAATCGGAATCGGCCCTATTGGGCCCCATCTGTGGTGGTCTGATGGCTCTTTGAGGCGCGCGCGGAACGCGACGTGCCGTTTGCTCGGGTCTGATTCTGGTCGGACGGGGAGCCATGCTCGCCGTCCGCAGGCCCGCGCTTACGGTGGCCGGAGATCGTCCCGCGATCCCCGACGCCCGGTGTGTCCTTCGCGATGGCTGGGTTGCGAGGACGCGTCCCGCCTCCTCCTTAGCTAGCATAACTGCTTCGCAAAAGGAGGAGACGGCATCCCAGTATCCCTCGCTCCATCATGACCTGCACTAGGCATATACCGGACACAATTCCAGACTCCGGGCTACTACTGAGATATGTTGAAAACACCTAGTTATACTTTGTTTGACCCGTGAATCGAACCGAGACCCCTTGCCCGGTAGTCTCGTTGGCCGAGTGGTGCAAGTACTACTATCCTCTGTATGACCCACAAACTGACCCTATCTTGGATATACTCCTCGTTTCCCTGCGCAGGTCCGCCGGGCGTGCAGTACGAGAACGCGCTGCTCCAGATAGCCCCCGTGGACAAGGCCAAGTGTCCGTACGTGCACGCCGGCACCGACGTCTCCTTCCAGCTCTACACCAGGTCAGTACTCACACGACGAGATATGGGGACTTCATCTCCAAGGTTGGCAAGCTAGTTGGAGATGCCAGTTGGAACGGATCAGGTTAATCAAAGAACGCAGTTGGTCTGTCAAATATGTACTCCTTTAAGTCGGCTATACGACACCCACGTGAAGAGCAGCGGTGGTGAAATAATATATGTATGTGTGTACAGACACAACCCGACAGTGCCGCAGCGCCTGGCGCTGGACGACGACGAGTTACTGTTCGCGTCCAGCATCGACTGGAACTCCCACACCGTCGTCTACTTCCACGCCTTCATGGAGCAGCCGGAAGATGGCAGCGCCGTGCTCGTCAGAGAGGGTGAGCAGAGACGTATCGACGTATAGTGGTCTCGCGGTGTATTACCGGCCCTCTGGACGGTCAGTGTACACCGGAGAGACAGAGACAGACAGATACTACGACAGCGAGCGATGTTGCAGCGTACATGCAGCGCGGCGACAGCAACGTCATCATGGTGGACGCGGCGCGCCTGGAGGCGGGTCCCTGGTACCCGGCCGCGGCGCACAACACGTGGTACGTGGGCCAGTACGCCGCGCGCCTGCTGGACTACCTGGCCGCGCGGGGCCTGCGCCTCAACCACACGCACCTCGTGGGCCACAGCCTGGGCGCCCACGCCGCCGGGGTGGCGGGGGCCGCCCTGCGGACCGGCCGCGTCGCGCGCATCACCGGCCTGGACCCCGCCCTGCCCCTGTTCGCTGGGGTCCACCCGGACCAGAGACTGGACCCCAGCGACGCGGACTTCGTGGACGTCATACACACTGACGCCGGGATATTCGGTAACTAGAACTACTCAGAGCTTCTCCAGGTCTTCACATTTGACGAGCAAACAGATCGTCTGATGGTAAGTTATTGCTGCCACCTACGAACACCCGCAACACCAGAGGCGTTACAAGTGCGTCACTAACCCTTTGGAGATTGTAGATTTAGAGAGCCTCTGGTAGTCTCACTCATACAGTTTCTTGTGAGGCCGGTCGTGGTAGGAGGGCGGAGCATGACTAATAATATCGTCTGATTGATTTCATTGCGGAATGTAATAGTTGGTTCGTGTCCAGGCTACAAGCACCCGCTGGGTCACGCGGACTTCTTCCCCAACGGCGGCGCCAGCCCCCAGCCTGGGTGCGAGCTGGAGGTGGTACTGCCGCAACAACTGCTGCTCAACAAGTGTGAGTACTTACTGCACCCACTACACTGGACATGTAATAGTGGACACAAACGTGTACTCTCTGTTCCCCCACTTCATAGAGAGAGGGAAACAACGTCGAATTTCCTGACACCGGCCTAATACATTGTAATTTTTTTTATAATACAGGTCGAAGAGCGAGCAGACGTATCACCTGATGGTAAGCAACCGATGTCATATGTGGATGGACACCCGCAACACCAGACGAGTTACGAGTACTTTGGTGCCCTTTCAGAATCAGAGATTGGGTCTCTGGTCTGGACACGAGAGAATTCCCAGATTCCGTGCTAATAATGACCATTTTAATGAAAAAATTACAATTATCAGTAATACCGAGCGACTGAGTAAGTAACATGTCGGTCCGATGTAGTTTTCTGCAGTCACTGGCGGTCGTACCAGTTCTACGCGGAGTCCGTGCTGCGCCCGCGCAGCTTCCTCGCGTCGCAGTGTCCCTCCTGGCGCGACTACACGCGCGGACACTGCGCCGGCGCACGCACCGCCCACATGGGCAGCGCGGCCCCCGCCACGTGAGACCCACCGCCCCACGTACCCACGCACCCACCGCCCCACGCACCCACGCACCCACGCACCCACCGCACACAGCTTGTACAGCAGCGCACGCTTACAGGTGCGGGCATGCTACACCCGCGGCACTACTTCGTGTTCGAGCTCACCACTGCACCCGTACACAGCAGACACAAGCGGTTCCTACCGGCACTGCGCCGGGACACTGCCACCGACTCGTGGCCGACATTGGGCGCGCTCGGAGTACTGGGGGCGCTCGTACGGGGCGCGCCGCTAGTGAGCGTCGTGCGTGACGTCACTACCCGCGTCAAGAGCAGCGCAGGCGAGCTCGCGCACGTCGCCAGGGAGACCTCGCGCTACGTCGGCAGAGACCCCGCGCCCCTGCCTGGGGTCACCCTGGAATTGGGGGCCGGGGGCTGGTGGGGGGCGCTGCGGAAACTCTTGGGCCTGGCCCCGCCCGGCGCCCGGCTGAGCGTGGCGCCCTAACTATATGTACTGTACAGAATACAGACACAGTCCGTTGTCACAATAGTTGTCGCCGCGCACGTATGTACTGCACGCTGTCTTAGTTCCGTCGTCGGCCTGGGCGCGTTGTAACGGCGCGTGTCGTGTTGCAGGGCGCGCGGCTCGTACTTCCTGCTGACTCACCGGACGTCGCCCTACTCCATCGAGTGACGCGCCCCCGCCCCACCCTGCGCCTAGCGCCCCGCGCCCCGCGCCCCCGACATACAAATATTGTACAACATGTTGGCGTTTCGCCTAGCGCCCCGCGCCCCGCGCCCCCGACATACAAATATTGTACAACATGTTGGCGTTTCATTTCTAACCCAAACCCCTCATATATGTATCTATGAATAGTACCAGCAGTACATGTACAACGGTAACACGGCGGTGCAGGGTGGAGTGAGTGCCCCACCCTGTCTCTGACCAGTCAAGTGTCTGAACAATTTCAACTAAATACGTAAGCGCAATGGTTGGGTAACTGATTGCCACGCAACGGGTAGCGGGTTCGATCCCCGCATGTAACAACTCTTGTGTGTAATCTTGTACACAAATTGTCATTCCGGGTCTCAGTGTTATGTGCTTCGATCAACAATAACAACTAGATATCGGGTCGGCGCAAGAAAATCGTCTCGACAAATAAGAGCTCACTTGAGAAGTGAGCTCTTATTTTGTTTAGTACGCTCCAAACACGGCCAACGTTCTCACGTCTCACGATGCCGCAGTGCGTAATTGCAAGTTGCAAAAATAATAACCGAAAAAGCAGTATTACGGCCGGACTGTCTTACTTACGATAAGTCCATAAAGTATAAGTTATATTTTAAGCTTTTAAACTAGTAAATAATATCAAATTAGACAAAATTACGAATTATAAAACAACACCACCAATGTTTGTGCGTATGTTGGCGACCCCTTGGCCACAAACATTTGTTTAAACAGAACAGTGGATGCATGGAGTCGATTTATATTGTAAAATAAAATTGTATTGTAACCTGATTGGAAAAGAGTACCTAACCTATGGAGTTTCTTGCTCGTTCTTCTCCATATGAATCTACACCTTGAAATGAGCGAATAGTTCACTTTTTAATTCATATTATTGACGTTCAAAATTGCCTTCCTGGTCTAACTGAAATAAATGATTTTGACTTAGACTTAGACTTTTAATAATAAAGTAAATAAACATATGATACACAAAAACGTACCACTAATAAAAATAAGTGATGTATACTAAGATCCCGAAATATTAATTTTCATAATTTATAAAATTATTTTAGTGTTCAACGCGACTCCATACATACCTCCTGTAGCGAAATTCGAAAAACCAAAATGAAACAAAACAAAACGATATAACATATCATACATAGCAAGGCAATAACGGAAAAATTATCTTTGTTTGTTCTAGCTTAAGGTTTTATTCAAACTAGATATTATATATAACTTATGTCTTTTGATTTCTACATGACAGGAGTAAGAAAATGCTTTTCTTGTCTTATGTGACGAATGGTCGTAAGTATTAGATAATATTTTGACGATTTATGACTTTATTATTAGGAGCCATGGTTGTTATTAGGTTGAACTTAAAACTATTTTAAAACATTTTTCTCTGTTTGTTATTTTTTTACTATTATTATTCACACGGACAGAACTGGAGCTCGATTTTGTACGTAACCCTTTATCTAGTTGCTATTGTTGATCGAAGGTTATGTGTGTCAACTGTTTACTTGATATCGTATGTTCGTACCGCACACACGATGTGAGACTAATTCCTAATGTAGAATGTTGGAACGTATAATAAATATAGGCACCTACTAAGTATACTCAAGCGCTGGCTCAATTCTCGGATGAAAAATCTGAATAGTTACACCAAATTGATGGTTGGGCCAAATTAAGTCGTGGTGGCCCGGAGCTTTAAGACGCCCACTTCTCATGCATGAGGGTGCGGGTTCGAAACCTACCAACGGCAAGTACCAATGTGACTTTTTCCGAGTTATATGTACTTTCTAAGATTATTTAGACACCACTGACAAACGGTGAAGGAAAAACATCGTGAGGAAACCTGAATTTATAATTTCTAATTATAAGTTTGAAATCGCCAACCCGCATTGAGCAAGCGTGGTGATTAATGCTCTAACCTTCTCCGTGTGAGAAGAGGCTTTGCTCAGCAGTGGGCATTTGTAGGCTGTTGATGATGATGGTTGGGTTTTGTGTTTGTAGAAATACCTACAATATTAAATTAATTATTAGTTTTCGGCTGAGGCTCATACACATGAGTAGTATTCCGCGACCGACGCGGCGACTGTCGCGCTGCTGTGGCACGGCTTGAAACTAGACGAATTCTTCGTCAAACAGTTACGTGAGTAAGCCGAAAACATAATGATTAATTTAGTATGTGTCGCGACGGTTGTAACATAAACATAAACACCTACACATTGAAAACATTCACCTGTAATGTCGGTCTACTCAAATACGTCCTAGTGTGTGAACAGAGCAGAAAGCAAGTAAGGGGCGCACCGACCTGTACATGTGGTGCGGGTGCAGCAGCGAGCCCAGCACGAGCGAGGCCAGGTACACGGGCCGCAGCAGGCGCGACAGCAGCGCGCCCTGCAGGCCCAGCACGGCCCAGCGCGCCACCTTGTCCGAGCACGACATGGTCAGCAGGCGCTCGCCCTGCATCACGCCGTCCCACGTCTGCACCACGTTGTGGCAGTTCTTCACCGGGATGGTGCCCTCGCCCGACTCGATCTTGGTGCGCAGCTGGCCGCGCGCCAGCCGGTTGGGGTGCCGGTCCGGCTCCGCCAGGTGCGGCTCGTGCGGCGAGAAGATGCGGCCGTCCCCGCACGGGGCCGTGCTCACGTACAGGTGCACCTGCCGGGACGGCTTCAGCCGGTAGCCGCCGCCTGCGGGCGCGCGCCGGGTTAGTCGCGGCTCGATATCGTGGGACGCTAAGGTCGCGGGGCACCTGGGGCAGGCGATGCGTACCTGGCAGCGGCTCGAGGTCGTTGTCCTCGATGGGCACGGTGGGGTCGGCGGCGCGCGCGTACTGCGCGAGCTGCGCGTAGAGATGGCGCTGCAGACAGCGGCGCGCCGCGACCTCCGCGTGGCAGTCGTTGAGCGCGCGGCCCGACACCGACATGTGCTCGCCCGACACGCACTTGGTGCCGGTGGTGACGGCCACGACGCGCGCGCCCTCTGCGCGCCCCCCGGTCGTGATGACGATGCCCGCCAGCACCTTGCGCTTCGAGTGCACCACGTCGTTCTTCATGAGCTCGTTGAACTTCTCGTTGACGAGCTTGCCGATGTGGTCGGCGAGCGTCTGGTGCAGGCCGTGCTGCGCGGGCAGGGGGTCGCTCCGCGGGCCGCCGCCCTCCTCCAGCGCGGCCAGGGCGGAGCGCGCCGCCGCCAACTTCGCTAGCTTCTTGCTCGACCCTGTACACAACACTCTCCGACTTGTTTCCACCTCTTAACTAACAGTTACTTAGTGTGGTGACCAACCACCCCTACAACCATCTCTCAACTAAGAATTACTTTGCACAGTAAAGTACCTACACTAATTCCTTACAAATACTATTGTCACTTATGAATTTATGATGAAAACCAAACTAGGGGTTTCTTAAAATTTAAGAAATGTCAGGAGAAATACTCGTCTGTTTCAATATATACTACTTTACAATAAACATAGATTGGTCAGACAATATTATTTGTTGGTATACTTGGAGTCACTTTTTACACAAACTGACTGTTTCGTTTCAGTCAGTCAGTACAATACCTGCGCACATTTGAAGGAATATGTTTACAAATTAACTACAAGCTACTTACAACAAAATAGTTAAGTATAAGAAAAAAATATTTTCCTGCTACCCCCACAGTAAATAAAAATATATTACTGGAGCAATACTGAACTGTAGCAAACTGATCCTTAAAGGAACCCGAGACTCACTCAATGGTCACTCAACCCAGTCCTCAGCAATTGTCGTCAGAACAAAATAGTTACTGAGGAATAGTTTCAGTAATCATGCGATGCCTGCGAGTGTCAGTAACTGAGTATCAATGTAACATCTCACCGTATCCCTCGAACTTGTGCTCCTTGACCTGGCAGACCACCTTGAACCGCATGCTGTGACTCAGCTGCAGCGGCGCTGCAACGTATGTTGTATACTTAGCACATCGCGTACTGTCATAGTGCACTCTACTAGCTTCCGCCAGCGGCTTCGCCCGCGTTGTCGTGGGGTGAAAGGTAGCCTATCATTCCAATCGCTTCAGCAGTTTTTACGTGAAGAAGTAACAAAGAAACAAAGAAACACAAAACTGTCGCCTGTATAACGTTAGTAGGGTAACGCGCTCACCCTGCGGCGCGGTCAGCGGGGAGCCGTCCCCGAAGGTGCAGGTGAAGGTGAGGCCGGAGTAGTTCTCGTACAACACGTTGATGGGACTCTTCAGCGCCGCGCCCCCGCCCCCGGCGCCGAACAGAGCGGCCGAGCTGTCCACTGCCATCTCGACCGGCTTACTGGTGCCGTTGGTCAGCTCTGTGCTCGGCAGCGCCAGGGGCGCGGGGGATGCGGGGGGCGCGGGCGCCGGCGGCAGCGACTGCATCGGCGCCGGGCACTGGAACTCTGACACTGCGCGCAGATATAGCATGCTGTACGTGACAGTGTGTGTGTGTGGGGGAGTACTGTGTGGTATACTTACTGGGGGGGAACATGTGCGGCTCGTCGCTCGTGAAGTCGGGGGCGCGCGGGGGCGCTGTGGGGGGCGCGGGCGGAGGCAGCACGCGCCCCGCCCTGGCGAGCAGAGCGGACAGGCAGGCGCGGGCGGCCGCGGCCCTGGCCTCGCGCTTGGAGTGTCCGCAGCCCTCGAAGCGGAGGTCCGCCACGGTGACGGCGACGTGGAAGCTGGGACAGTGCGCCGGCCCGCCCTGCCGCAGTACGCAGTACGCCACGCGCACGCCGAGCTCGTTCAGCGCCGACACCGGGGACTTACCGCCGCACTCCACCGCGTCCGCCGCCGCCGCCAGCGTCTGCCGACATGCCTCGTCTTGTACTGCACTGCCACACGGAGCCAGCACAGTACACAGTACATGTCCACGGTACACCGTCACTGACCTGCAGGTTCCACTTGAAGCCGGCGCCGACGCGGATGGAGGGCGCGGCGCGCTTGGCGGGCGGCTCGCCGTCTGCAACACTACGCACTGCGCCCCCACACGCGTTACTCATACAACATAATATATTACATACTACAGCATGATACACAACTAGATGGTATTACCTTCGTTGTCACACATGTCGTCCTCGCAGTCCGCTAGTTACTGTACAATGGCGCTACGTACAATGGCGCCGAGTTACTGCGGCCGCGGGTACATCTACACTGACATCGAACGTGCGCCGACTACCCGCGCCTACTACTTCCGAACTTTTTTACTTTTTAATCTGGCAGTTTGACAGTAGTGGCTGTATGCGTGACACTGACCACAACTGACAGGTGACAACCCGAGTGATATGTCACATGCGCCGGCGCATTATTTCTGCCAACATTATTTTGCCGAAATATTTGGAGGCAGCAATGGAAGATATGTTACCATGTCTATAATTCTGTGAATGAAAGCAACGTGTAGTATGAAAGTGTAGCGTGGCGGTCTGTTTGACTCACAGTATCGGTCGCGCGGCGGTCGCTTGGCGAGTGGTTGCGGCGGTCGTGTGGCGGGCGTGGCATGCCCGGCCGGCAGCTGCGCGGCGCCCGGCGCCGGCTGCGGCGTCTGTAACGCGAGCGTAGCACGTCAGTTCAGTACAGTACTACGGTGTCGCCGGGCAGTACTCACCCGCGCCGCGCCCGCCCGCCTCCACTACGAGCACTACTCACCCAGCTCGCGAACATGTCTGCAACAAACACCAGATGGACACTTACTAAACTGTATGATGACAATATATTAAACAACAATATTACATACAAACTCCACACATACTGAGAAACTGAACAAATACTTGACTGTAACATTACACAGAGTGACAGACACGAGGGGAGCCTACATACATAGATACAGTGCATGCTCTGTGTCCTGCGTGCGACAATGTTTACTGATGTACAGAATTAAATGGTCTGTCATGTAATACTTCACTTGAATGATATCTGGATAACACGGGGCAAGGGATACAATCAACCTCTTTTGTCATAATGTTGTAAAACCCAAATGAATACAAACTAAAATAACACGAACACAGCGGACAGGAAACATTTTGTATTAGCAATGAGTTCAATGATAACTGGTTCGTTACTTCATTATAGTTTGTATTTACTGTAACGCATACAGTTTATAGTAACATCTTATTTGATACATTTCAGTGGATTGAGTGTTGGGGTTGATAGATGATTGAGGATTGAGTGTTTCTAATACTTTTTTACGAAGTTGAAACAGAAGCTAGTGTCATACTATTTCTAAAAACCAGTTAGTGGAAAATGTAATTAACATTGCAATCGTCCCAATCACTTGAGATGTACGTAGTATGTATGTATGTACCAAGTAAGATCTATGTTATAAAATGTATTGTACTAGTCTAACTAAGATGAGTAATAATAAAAGGTAACTGATCGACTTCAGTCATTTCAATAACACTAGCTCCCTACACACTTTAAGGCGGAGAAGTACAACCGGCACTGCTAGCACAGCCCCAGTACCATGTCATTAATATTATGAACAGTAATTTAACCTTTCAACAGTTGGTACAGATAACAAGCCAAGTGTCGTCCACACACCACAGATACAACAAGCTGTTGAATGTATTTAAAGTTTGAGCATTCACTTCATATCCTACTGAGGCTGTGCGCACTACTTGTTGCAGACGGGTAGCATCCACATTGTATATTCAGCAACAGTAATGTAGTGCTGTATCGGCGTGGCACGTCGCGCGACCTTATCTACCACTACTTCCTTCCTTCTATGTAGGGATACTGCCAACTGATACGACTGTGTGTGTGTGCGTGGCGCAGTCAGGCAACGGCACTGTGACTGAATTACAGAAGGGAAAGACGAAAATAACGAGACAGGGGCGCTATATAACACATCGGTTACATACACACTGCATACATACACACCGGTACTGGCGGGAGCAAGTCTGTGCTGATAATGCGCAGGTTATGTTGTCATCAAATACAGTGACAATACAACCCGCCAGCTAGAGCTAGTGACGCATAAACTCACCATTTTTGGTAAAGTCCGTGAAGAAATTATCCATGTCTCCACAATAACATAACAATACTATCAATAATACACAGGTACAGCTTGTACTCGGTTCACAATAAAACTAATCTCCCTTGTGGCGCTTGCAGTAGAAGGCACATCATCTGTTACTATTCGATTTGATACGAAATACAACTTGTTTGTTATCATACAATCATTTCTATCTACAAGTACAACTACAACAATCGATCTCTCTGTCTGTCTTACGTCAGTCAACTGACATGACAGCTGCGAGCTAACTTTAACAGAGCACAGATTATACAGAATATTTAAATACTCCTCGCCTCGCACCAAAGAGATGAGGTGCACGATATACCTACATCGATGTTAATTTTTTTTTATTATTGTACCTACAATTATTATAAAAATACTTCGAATTTATTCGATTCTTCGAATCAAACCGATATATTGGTACTTAATTCTTTAACATTGAGATTGTGTTTTTTTATTTGATGCACCGAAGAAGCGAACGCGGACCTTGGTAAACTTTTATAAACGTCCAAAGACGTGTAGGAACTAAAGAATATTCTGTAACTTTGGTAGTACCAATAATGTTTGCAATATCTCTGCCCGGGCCCCGGCTACCATAATAGGTGTTTTCCGATATATACTGAATAAATAAATAATTCGTAATATTGATGGCCCTTTTTGGGTGAGGTAAATTCTCAACAAAACAAAAAAAAGTGAGTAGATATTTCATGAAATAGGGATATTTTATTTTAAAATGTAACTTAAAATGTTCCTGCTCTCTCTCTCCCGGTCGATCTCCCAACTGAAACTATTGTATTTTAGTAAGTAATAATTTTCCACGATGCTCGACCACTTTTAAGCACGCCGCAAAGTGATCGAGGACACTCGATGGTTTGCGAGATTGCTCGATGATAGTATTCGTACCCGCCTGATTTTTTTATGGATAATCAAAAGTGATAGAGGACGCTAGATAGTTTTCGAACACACTTGAAACTGATCGAAGACACCTGATAATTTTTATAATAAGCTTGTATCCTCGAAAGTCATTGAAGGCACTGGATAGTTTTCGAAGAAGTTCAAGGTAAGTTCAAGTAATAGTTGTTTGGGAAAAATCTTTTTATGGAGGTAACTCGGCTATCGTTTCATAGTCAAAATCAATAAAAAAAATTGATTTTGACTAAGAAACGATAGCAATTTTTATTTTTTTTGTAAATTACGAAAATCCGTAAGTGTGAACTCAGCCCGATTACACGTCGCCGCCTTGTAACTAGCTTTATAACGTTGCTCAACACACAATGACACAAACTCAAACACATAATTGATATTATTACTAATTCCCCAAAATTCCAATAAGAAACGCGAACCGACTCCACCCCCTAGCACTCTCAGCTCTTTTTTTTAAGGCGGGAAAATCATCGAATGACTCCAAGCGGGAGGGAGTGTCTGCTGTCTGTCTGTCTGCTAAGAGACAGTTCCTTCTCCTGAGCTTCGAGTCCCGGGCCCCAGTAACCCGTTAGGTTCTCCGCGACAGCACTCTCACCCCTACGGCGTACACGCAAACGCATTCAGATTTCAGTTTGCGCTTTGGCACCGCCGGAGTAATTACATGTTCAGTGCTGCCGGGGTAGTTGTTTACGAAATTATTCCGCATGACCTTGAACTTCGTGTCACTAATTTTTATCAAAGTTAAGAACTTTCATTGTTTATGTGAAAACAGTGAAAACAATCTCTATCGAAATATTCGCATCGAACTTAAACTTCCAACACAGGCATGATAGAAGTGATGCATGCTGAGAGACTGCAGCAGACTGCGAGTGATCAGTGCTTGAAACACAAATGTCGTACAATATAGTGTTGCATAGTCCAATCAATGTCGTAGTGTATAACTGTGTTACTGTGCTTACGTAGATTGTGTTGACGAAAACTTCGAACGAAAACTCCGAGTGACACAGGTAGATATGTTATTTATTTACTAGTATATTCCGTCTACAAGGAACCTACAGATACAGACTCATTACTAAATTTTTATTAATAATTGTTTGTACTTATTCAGCAAGATATACCTACAATGCATTCAGTAGGTATTATGAATTACGAATCAGCTGATCAGCTGATAACTAAGTAATGTGGGAATGTACATACGCGGAATATGAATGTATGAATAGGAAAGATAATTTTAAATCAACCGATTTAAGTAGTACACGAATGGAACTTTTTACTGAACTTACCTAGGTACAATGCGTTTTTACCTATCATCAAACCGCAAACAGTTCTTGGAGCTCTTGGATCCTACCTACTTAAGTAGGTATAAGTAGGTGAGTAGGTACTTAGCTATGTGTTTTCATTATTCAGACCTTCAATTACTAACTTTAGCGTCATTCGTATACATCAGGATTGCAATGAAAGTAATAAGTAAAGCATTACACAGTGTTACGAATCAGCTGATGACGAACGTTGATACCTACGTGAACTTTCCTTTGAAGATAGGTACATGTACTATTGTCACTGATTGTTTCTGCATTCAAGGGTTATTTGAGTGACGGAGGGACTCCTCAGCAGGTCAAGCGAAGATCTTGAGTCACTTAACATCGGACAGAGACCCCCCGGATTCTCTCACCGTCTTGGCAGAGTTCAGATTGGAAAACAGTATTGAGTCGCCAGGCCGAAGGTGCAGCTCTATAACTCTTTTTCCGTTTTCCCACCAAGTCACAGCAGCTCCTACTTTTCCCTCTACCTTGCTGCCGTCCGTGTATATTACACGGACGATATATGTATATACGTGTATAAGGGGACCGATCGCTTGGTGGGTCTCTAGGCTCTCCGGGAGTTAGATCCTATAGGCGTGTAGAGGTATATATTGTTATCGTGAGTGATGCTCGGTGAGGTTGCAGACACGAGCGCATTGAATGTGAGAGTCTGTAATGCAGCCAGACCCAGCAGCTTTATCTCTTGAACTAGGTTTAGCTGGGTGCCGGACATGTGGAGTACCGGGTCGTCGTATTTAAACTGTGTCGTCAGCACCATCGCATTCGTTTTGTGCGCGGCAATACGGAGCTTGTTTTTACTGACTTCAAAAAAAGGATGAGTTACTATGTACTGCTGATTGTTTCTTTTTGTTTGTTTACTGATAAATCTATTTTATTTGAAAGGTAACTCCCGAGAGGGTCCCAGTTTCATGAGGTCAGGATCTGATGATGAAGTCCTAGGGATGTCGAGCGGAACTTTCGAAAATTGTAACTATTGTTTGTAAAATTGTAAATGTATTTTAAAAATTGTGACTAATGCATTACCTATTATGTTTTTCAATAAGGATTTTTACTACAATTTGATAAGGGTCTGGAGTCTTCTCTTACGCTCAGGGAACTCATATACGGAACAACCTACCTGGGATGCGTGTGCTACGGGGCACCTGTCTGGGCTGATAGGGCCACAATAGTCGCGGTACGGCGAAAACTTCTCCAAGGCCAGCATCTAGACTTGATTTTCCTGTGTAAGGCTTTTAGAAAGGCTCTGAGGCCCTACCTGTGCTCGCGGGCGTACTTCCGGTAGATCTTGAGGTGCAGCGACGTGCTGCTATGTACATACTACTAAGAAACCTAATTTGTCAGCAAGCTTTCTAGCACAACGCGATCGAAATAAAATTGCTAGATTGTTTAAGCCATTATCGGACGTTTGGAGCGAGCTTATATTAAGGGCCGCCACCTATGTCAGTTCTTCCCGTCCGTGCATGAGCGGCTGGAGGTGGATAATTATTAATAAATAAAACAAAAGTAAATATCAGGGGAGATCATTAATTTAAGTAAATAACAACGGCTTTATGGGGATTAGGAGTTTGAGGATCGTTGGGGATTCAGGGATTGGGGAGATTGGGAAAGGGGAAGGTAATTGGGCCTCCGGTAACCTCACTCACACGACGAAACATAACGCAAGCGTTGCTTCATGTCAGTTTTCTGCTCGTTGGTGGTATCACTCCGGTCGAGCCGGCCCATTCGTGTCGAAGCATGGCAAGCCCACACTTAATTGATAATAATTAATTATTATTTACTATTATTTATTATTATAAAATTAATCATTAATAACATAAATCAAATCAATAAATTAATAATAAAAACAAAAATAAAGCAAATAACAATAAAAATAAAGCAAATAAACAACAAATATATGTAATAGGTTGGATAATGAAACAAGATACTTATGTTGTTGCTCTGTAAAAGGAAGTTTAATTATAAATACAACATAACCAATGAAATGGTTTGCAAATACACAACTCACTTAGGTAATTAGTATTAGATAAACATTATGGTCCACTAACCTGTAAAAGAAACAACATTAAGAGCTATTGCTTCAAACAATCCTTTGTATCCTTATTTTAAAAATAATTTCCACAAATATCTTTCGCGCTTATTCTAAAATCTCGAGACGAAACAAAACCATTATCTTTGACATAGTGGAAAAAAGCTGTCACCACAGATTATACTGACGTATAAAGTCTAAACTAAAATACGCGGGAAATTTAAATTAAATGAAGGGCTAACTTAGCTTCTTCATTTACATAAATAATAACAATAAAGCAAATAAACAAAATAAATTAAAGTTAATAATGTAAATTAACAATCTCACGGCAAAAACTCAGAGCGTGTATTACGCAGGAGCGTTCCGTCTCGTACGGCGACTCACTCGCTTCTGAACTCGGGTCGTCGGGTCTTCTCTGCGTCTCCGGGCGGGGGCGCGAGGTCGCACGATCCAGGCCGATGCCTGTTTCGGCAGATGCGCATCTTTGCAGAGCCCGATGCGATGTCGAGTCCGGTGGTTTTGCTCCGCCGTGAGCTGCGCTCTAGCCGGGCAAGCCCAGCGAGCAGTTAGCTGTTGGCGGGGCATGGCCGTGTCCAGTTGGGGCGCCGCCAGGGGCCGCGCTCGAGCCGGGGGGAGCCCGGCGAGCGGCTGGCTGGTAGCGGCGCGCGGTCGTGTCCTGCCGACCTGCCGGCAGGCGGGCGGGTTGTCTCACGTGGCGTCCGATGGGTCGGTCGGTGCGACCAGGTCTCGTGGGAGGCCCAGGCCGTCGGGGGGGCGCCGGTGGTTGGGCGCCAACTCGCGTAGGTGGTCGTGCTGCGACCGATCGGATCGCTCAAAGAGAATGCGAGTGTGCTCTACGCCGAGGTCTCGGCCGAATGTCGCGTTCCGTACGAAGCGCGGGGCCTGTACGATGGTGTGCAGCGACAGCGACTGCTGAGCACGGAGGCGT